TTACAAGAGATTGAGTAGCTTAAGTAAACAGAACCGATTTGAAAAGAGGGAAACTGTCCCTTGACTGCTGGTGTTCTCAAAGACATGTCCACATCCTAATCCCTGGAACCTGCAAATAGTACCTTTTATGTTGGCAAAGGACATGGGAGGAGCTTATCCTGGATTATCCAAGTGGGCCCTAATGTATCCTCGGCCGAGTGATGCAGAGACTAGACACAGGAAAAGGCCCGTGAAGACAGGCAGACACTGGAGTGACGCAGCCACGAGCCAAGAACAGGAACCATCAGCAGCTGGAGGTGGCAAGACAGAGCTTCCTGCCAACCTCGGTTTCAGACATCTGGCCTCCAGGGACTAAAATTTCTGTTCTAAACCACCAACGTCATAGGAATTCATTACAGCAGCTCCAGGAAACAGAGTTGTCTGAGGTTGTCAGAGCTTGGTTTCTGTTGCTTCTCCCTTAGAAAGTCCTAGTTTATACGTGGTCTTACGGCTGGACCCAGCGGGGGCCCACGACCTGGAATAGGTAGTGCCTTGTACTGCTCCGCTGAGTGTCGGCCTTGGGCCCCTTCAGGTAGCCTGGTTGCTGTCACTCTCCTGCATGTGCTCTGGGAGTCTGCAGTCCTGGCCTCGGTGAGAACATTGACCCTGGGCCAGCAGGTGCCTGGGACTGAGGAAAAGACAGAAAGGCAGGTGCTGCTGCAGCCGTGGATTTAATGATGGAAACTTCACGGCTCATGAATGCCCATCCTGGCTTGGAGCCCAACATCCAAGTGTCAGGTTGATGTGGAAACCACTCACTGCCCACCCCTTCTCATCCTCAATTCCATCCCTCCTCCCCACCCCCCTGCCTCTTTTAAAATAATTACTTAATTTGGGGCCTGCAGGCGGCTTGGTGGTTGAGGCGCTGGACACAGCACAATTTTTGTGGAACAGAGCATTACAGACCAAAGATGTCACCAAGCCCCATTTTGTTCTTCCTCCCCCACTTGGGATACAGGGAGCAAGGGGATGAAGAAACAGTACAAGGTCCCATCCTGTCTGGACCTCTCTTGTCAGCTTAAAAATAATAATAATAAATAAAGTTAAATAATTCTAAAAAATATTTAGTTTTATTATTACTATTTCTTAATTGACTATAGGGCATATGTACTCACTAGAGAAAGAGAGAGAAAAGGAAAGTGAGAAAACAAGTCACCAGATCCAAGATTTGAACCATGGTCAGCCATGTGGGAATCCGGCACTTTAACCACCACACTACCTACTGACCCTCTCTACTGCTCCCCCTACTGCCAACTTTGCTGCAGCCACTCTGGCTGCCTTGGCCAGTGTTGACCTCCCAGGCACACTGTCAACTTAGGGCTCCCACCCCCGCTGCTTCCCATTCCGAATACTCTTCTCCCAAACACTCCCCCTCCCTCCAGTCAGCTCTCTGCTCAGCTTTCACCTTCTTAGAATGGCCTTCCCCAGCCACACTATGTTAAGTAGCAAACCCCCACCCTCAGCACTTTCTACCCCCAGCCCTACTTTCATTTTATTTTTGTTTAGAGAGACTTTTGCTATAGAGCACATGCACTCACTGGAGAAACAGAGACAGCAAGACATAAAGCAAAACATCACCCCCCTCCATGCTGGGGTGTGTGTTTGTGGATGGCCATATCACAATCCCTTCTCCATTTTCCTCTTGGGATTTTGGGCAGGCATGCACATGCACCCAGCCTGAGTTTCAAGTCTCTGGGTCCAGGACCCAAATAGTAGTCAGTCATGCGGGAGCCCAGCGACAGAACTATTACACCATCTGCTCGTCCCCCTACTTTCATCTCTACAGAGCTTATCTTCTGACATTAATCGTCTTCCACACTAGACTGAACTGTTGAGGACAGGGATTTTTGCCCATCTTGTTCACTGCATAATCTCTGACCTCTGTTGTACACAATAAAAATTTGTTGAATGATTAGATGAATAAATCCAGGGGAATAAGTAACTCACTTAGGGTAAGAAAAGTATCTAACTCCACTCTTTGGTCTGTAATGCTCTGTTCCACAAAGTCATTCAGGGACCCATGCTCCTTCAGTTATGGTAACTTCAACATTGAGTCCTCAAGGCTGATGGAGAGTGAAGACACACTAACTGTCTTGATAGGAAGGGACACATCATTGTTGAGAACTGTTCACATGACTCCACCCAAAAGCCAAGGGCCTGGGCAATGAAATTGAGCTGTGGATCTCTAAAAGAAGAAATTGTGTGGTAAACATCTGATTGGTCTCTGGTCACCAAGCCCCATTTTGTTCTTCCTTTCCCACATGGGATATAGGTGGTGAGGGGAGGAAGGGGCAACACAAAGTCCCATCCTGTCCAGACCTCAGGTGATGTGGTCTCCCTCAGGTGGCTCTTAAAAATCCTACAACTCTAAGGACCAGCAGATGGCATAATGATTACATCACTGGACTCCCACATAGTCAACCGCAGTTTAAGTCCTGGTCCTGGTGGCTTAAAACTCATGCTGGCCACGTGTGTGCATGCCCAAAATCCCAACAAGAGAATGATGAAGGGATTGTGGTATGGCCATCCCACCTGGGGGTGTGTGTGTGATTTTTTGCTTTATGTCTCTCTATCTCTGCCTGTCTCTCTGGTGACCACATGCACCCTATAGCAAAAGTCTCTTAAAAAAATCCTACAACTCTGAATTAATAAGACATCTTACTTGCTCCATTCCTCAACAGACAGTAAGCCAGACAGGACATCCTTATGATCACTCCTGGGCAGGATAGAGGGGAGTGGAAGGTATATAGCAATCACTGGTCTATGGCACTTGAGAAATACTGCTGGGCCCTGCCTTGGAGTTGGGGAAGTCCTTGCTCTGGCCCAGTTCTCTCTGGTCACTTTTGAGGTGGCCTTGGGCTATATGTGCTTGTGGAATACAGTTTTCACAACTGTCTTTTTGCCTGAGGATGGTTCTAAGGCTTCCTCAATAGTCACAGATTGGGGCCAGGTGGTGGCACAGTGGTAACACAACTGGACCCACATAGGCAGGGTCCTGAGATCTGGGCTGTGCCCAAGATCTAGGCTAGCTAAAACAGGCTGGACTGTGGCATACAGACCCTGTTGGGGATGCTGTTTCTATGTCTCTGTCTCTCTTTTTGCTATGGGGTACATATACTCGCTGGAGAGACAGATATAGAGAAAGTGAGAAATCACCCCCCGCCGGGGGGATGGCCATGCCATAATCCCTTCTGCTCTTGAGATTTTGGGCACACATGTACATGCACCTGCTGTTGAGTTTCAAGCCTCTGGGTCTGGGACTTGAATCGTGGTCGACCACGTGGGAGTCCAGCACCTTAACCACTATGCGACCTGCTTGGTGGGAAGAAATAAAGTCACAGAATGTTTTGTGTGGCCATGCTAATGGTTTCTTAAAACTTGCTGCATCTCTTCTTTCTCTTGTTTTCTGAACAAGTCAGGGTCAGAGACTATGCTCATGGTTCTTCCCTGGACACACTTCTCAAGTTGGCTATATTGGCTATATTCTTTTGCTTCCCTAGTCACATGCCTCTCACTCGAAATGGTGGCCATGAGGGTAGCTGGCTCAAGTGTATGAACTATCTTCATCTGATTCCCACCATGAGCAGAGCCACTGCATCCCCCTGAGTCAGTGTATCTTTGTTACTCAGAAGCACCTCTGGGGACTCAGAGCAGCTGGCTTTCCCAACATGGCAATGCCCTGGATTTCTACCTTTCCCCTTCTTGTAACTGGCAAGTTCTCTCTTTCTTTTTTAAAGAATTATTTAATTTATTAAAACTAAGGGAAGGGAAAGCAAGCTGTCAGGTCTGGGACTTGAACCATGGCTGACATGTGAGAGCCTAACTACCATGCCACCTGCTGGCCCTGACAAGTTCTTTCTTGAATGCAATTCTTGTGATGCCTTTTAAGAGCCAGTAAAAATCACCACATAATGCTTTTTCCCCCAACATTTTCCTTAAAAACTCGAGACAAGTAGTGTGCTTCCCTAGTCACTGAACAGCCTTACCAGATGTTTGCCACTGCCTGCAGAGACCTCTAGCTATCCTGCCTGTTGCCTCTGTCTTCTCACTGCCTGCCACCTGGCCACTAAGCCAATGCCATGTATTTCAGGTTTTGGGTATAAGTGGATTGCACTTCAAGACACTGATTTGAGAATTAGAATAACAAAAGCTAACTGCTGTAAAAAAGAAAAAGAAAAAGCCCCAAGTTTTAGTGGATCAGTAACTTGTGCTTTTCAGTGATGCAAAGACCAGTGCAGCTCTGGTGGGCTAGGTGGCTTGGCTCTTTAAGTGGTGACTCAGGGACCCATGTTCCCGCCGTCTTTAATATGAGCGTCCAGGGAGAGCCCCATGGGGAATCACGGTACATCATTTCTTCCAACATGCCCTTGGCCTTGGCCCACTTTGGCCCCAACCTACCTGCAAGGAGGCTGGGAAATGTTGACCTTGAGTCTAGTTGCAAAATATATACTGGTATTCACAGTATTGTTGTCTGCCACAATGCCACCAAATTGTAGGCTTTTATCCTGTCAGCAACATCTGGTGGCTCTCAGTTCCTTTGGGATCCCATGAGGAGCTAAAGGATAAAGGCCATGGAGGCAGCGGAGGAGACAAACCAGTCCTGAGGCAGCAGGACTCCAGGCAGACCCATCTATGCCTTGATTCCTTGTCCCTGTCATTAGAGGTAGGCACAGCTACTCTGCGCGCACACAGGCTGTCGGGAACCAGGAAGTTCATTCATTAGCTGCTTGGGGCTCCCAGGGCCTCTGAGTTTCAGCCTGGAGAGGAGTCTGAGGCGCCCACCTGGTGGTTTCACACCTTCCCCACATGACTGCCAAGTGCTTTTTCTGAGGCAGTCTGAAAACTGGCATATTTTACACATTTGTCTCTCTTTTTAAGGTTTTTATGCCCAAAATGTAATAATAATAAAAAAGCACAATGAAACAAAAATAAAAATTAAGACGCTTAGAACAAAACCCACATTTTTACCAGATCTACTTTTATTTCAGAAGTATTATAGTATTTACTTTTGTTTATATACAAGTTCTTCACATTTGTGTTTAAAATGCACAGACTTCCCTTAATTCTCTTGTTCCTGCTTAAATTAGCTGTTATTTTACAATACAAAAAATACCAAAAAATTGCAGTCCTAAATGTATGTATAACACCCACGACCCCAGCAATGAAATAGTTTACAATACTTACTCCATATTTACATGAGTGCAACAGATGCTAAATTATACATATTAACAAACTAAGCTTGAATCCAAACCAAAAACGAAATGAAACAAAAAACCGTAAATAACTATAAAACAAACAAACAAAAAAAATTTCCAGAGCCAGAATTAGTTGAACAAAACAGGCTTCACTAGTGTTTAGGATGTTTTGTGCACAAATTTAGTTACTGAAAGTCGATTCCATTATTGCCTTTGAAGAGAAGGCGCCAGTGTTCCTTTTCGGCTCCAGAGCACCCCCCTGCAGGCGGTGTTCCCAAGTCTGAGCAATGGCTGTGCCATCTCTGGGTGGGCCTGGCTACACAGAAACCACCATGGTGAAGCGAACTTGGTCAATGGGGTAAACATTTCAGAAAGAGCCAGGACATGCCCTGAGGTCAGGAAGCCTCTATCTTCTTGCTCCTGTCCTCAGGATGGCCAGTCCTCGCAGAAACCACCTCCAGGCCCAACTCCTGGGGTGACAGGGGTGTGAGGAGTTGGTTTTTCGTTGTAATTCTATAAAGAGCTACTTTTTATCTCGGTCACTGCCCTAGCATTAGCTGTGTTTAGCTTAGCTTAAGTGTTTAGTAAATACTCATTGAGAGAATGGATGAATGAATGAAATGGAGGATCAAAGGTGTTTGTGATGGTGCTTGCCCCGCCCCCAGTACACTCCATTAGGTCGAAAGAGCAAGATTTGCACTGCAAGGGTGTCTTTCCTACTGGTAGAGCACTGGTCTTTCATTTGTCCCACATTTCTCAGTGCACTTCTAATTGTGCACCTCAGGCCTCACCAACAAATAGTCAAGTATTTTTCTTTTGCGGTTAGTCTTCTGCCCAGGGCTGCCTTTCCTCTCGGCTGGCTCAGAGCAATGGGTTACCTCCTTGCCACACCTCGCACCTTTCCAGGCAAACCTCATAGTGACACACAGGTTTCTTCCTGAACTGTGTGCAGGGAGGAGACAGGTGGAGGAGAGTGGCGAGTCCAGGGTGTGTGGAATTCTCCGTGGGGGAAACAGGAGCGATTGATTAGCAGACCAGCCTTCCCACTCCCACCCCTGGTCTTCGGTATAATAGGACATGGTTCTGGGAAATGATCATTAGAAATTTAGTCAAAACCATTAAAAATGCAGCCGGGAGAACCCCTTATTGGAAAAGTCTGATTTCGAAGGTTACAGTCTTTGAACCTAAAGACTAAAGGAAGCATGTCTCAGGAGGAGACCGGTCATCCCTTGCTCCCCAAAGTGCCCAGAGGCTGCCAGATTCACCATAGGCCTGCAAAGCAAACTCGCTTCTTTGAGTCTCCTCCCATACGCTCTCTGGACAGATCCCCTGCCTGGCTTCTCATGTGTATGCTGAGAGATGAGCCCTAGGTCAAGAATTAGCTCATTCGTACCAGATGCATTTCTTGGCTTTGTTATTAACATATCAGGGCTTGATGAGTGGACTTCTTGGAGCTTGGATATGGCACAAAAACAAATTAGGTGAAACTCAGACATTGTTACATTTAATAAAAATACATTAAGATATTTTTCTGTTTTATGTACACTCCGAATGCCTGGACATTCTGGACATGACTGTATAGTTATGTACAAGTGCAAGGTTAATGTTGTTGTGACGGTTTTACTTTATACACAGGCTTTCCTGTGACAGACAAAGGTACCAGATGACCACCCATTCTCTCTGGGTATCCAGCTCTAGCAGAGCTCCTCCTAGTCCCTGCCACTCCCCTCTCTCTGCCCTGAGCCCGGAGGAAGCTGTTTGCTGTTGGCTGCAAAGGAGAAGCAGGTCGATCCTGCTGTTTCTCCATCGTTGGAGCACAAATTAGACTTTACTTGCTCCTTCCTTCCCTTTGAAAACGGAACTATCTTTTTAGGGAAAAAAAAAAAAAGAAAAAAGAAAAAAGAAAAAAAGACATAACCAGGTGGCTGTGTGGTCACATGCATGTTATTTCAAGGCATGGAACTAACATGGGGAAGAGAATTCTTTGGCCAAGGAAAAACTGGTCCTTTGAATAAATAAGGAGGCTCTTCCTTACAGGACAATGCCCAACTGCCGTTGAAGAATGCCCTCATTCTTCGCCAAGAGGCCTCGTGATAATTGCAGTGGCAGAAGGCCAGGCTCTGTGGGTGCTGTGTTCTGGAGCAGGGATGTGAAGAGCTCAGAAGAGGAGAGTTTTTTCCCTAGAACCATGTGTTCTTTAACGATGATGTGACAAAGAAGCCTTTTGAGAGGTGAGTCTCAGAGTAGAGGTGTTTTGTGCATTAGTGTTTTATGGTTCGACTTCCTTGAAAACATCTTTCCAGGCAGCTCTTCCCAGAAGTGGGGGGTTGTACTGGAGCAGAGATAATACTCCCTCTCTAGGCACTGCATTTACAGGTGAAATGCCACAGTTTTTGCTCTTCTGAGTGTTAATGTCTCCAAATTCACAAACTTGAGCACTGCAGTCCAGAGGTCCATCCCAATAGGGTAATGCTGGAGAATCGCAGGGTTTGACGTGGAGGCTGCTGCATAATGCCAGAATACAGAGCACCATAAATGAGAAACACACACCCAAGCAGTACCCTCTGGGGAGAAGAGCAGGGGACTGTTCCCTCCTCTTAAATTTGGTCATTTTCCATTTGGCATAGAGTTCTCTCTCCTTGTCCATTTCTTCCATGTGCTTTTCATCCTTACCAACATTCTCTAGCCTCCTCACAGCCACTATGTCGGTCTGGGGAGGAGGATGATGGGCCAAGACGCTCACAGGGGAACGAGGGCAAACAGCTCCCATTCCTCCTCCAGGCCGTGGGCAGGTTCTGCTTGATCAGGGGAGGCTGCCACACTCCTGGCATCCGAGTCCACCCCAGCCTGAGAATGACCTGCAGTTCAAAGTGGGCTACAGGGACAGAGTTGACCTTTTATCTAGGGGTCCCAAGTGCACTCGGTGCTCTTTTCTGCTCCAGGGAGACACATGACATGAGTGAGTCCCTTCTTCAGTGGCGTCCTGACAAAAGGAAGTCTGAGGGCTGATCAAACATCAGGCCTAGAGTGATGGGGCAGGGGCAGAGGGTAGGCTGCACAGGACCCCCAACTCATTGACAATGTTCTTTTTGACAACAATAAAAACAGGAGCATTCACAGTTCATTTCTGCTTTCCTCCCAGTCCCTGCTGCAAGGTCGATCATTCCTTGGGGTGAGAAAATTCTTTCCTGGTTGCAAATCAGATTTTAGAAAAAGAGCAGATTGCCAATGGTAGCTATTTAAATTTTACAAGAATGTAGGAATGCAATTATGTAAAAATTAGGCTTACTAACTTCCCAATTGCTAGATCTATTTAAAGTCTAGGCACTTAGTGTGTGTGTGTGTGTGTGTGTGTGAGAGAGAGAGAGAGAGAGAGAGGGAGGGAGGGAGAGAAAGAGAGAAGGGGGTAGGGAGAAAGAATTTCAAATGGATTAAGAATAAATTAATCAAGTCTCTCTAGAAAACTACCTAATACACCAGATTACATTCTAAGTAACACTGCTGACCTTGACATTTAAAACAGCCCCCTTCTATCCTAGTTTGACATGATTCAAAAGAGATGGACCGTTATTAATTCTCAACTAGAAAAAAGCTACTCCCTGGAAGAGAGGTATCTGCCTAAATCGTGCAAGAATAAATAGCACATCTTTTAAAAAAGATAGCAGGCTTCAGATGAAACAAGTTAGTTCATCTGACTAGTTTAAAAGACCATGTTCAAGAACAGCTGATGATGAATATGTACGTGTAAACACTCCATCTCTTGCTTCTGCACAGTTGAGACAGTCCCAAGGACAGTTTTCGCAAGTGAACCTGAGTGTCATTCCTAGCTCTCACTGGCTCTACACCGGCCTCCTCCAGCAACGATCGGATCATCCCTGGACCTGTGATTAAATCCATTATTTCCTATGCAAAAGTAAAAGGTTAGATGCTGGAACACGGATGGGAGAAACCGTCAAAGACAGCTTGTGATCATGCAGATGAGTCGGATGCTTCGCGGGTTTCCAGTCTTCTGCCTGGCACCACACGGCCGGTCCCTGCCTGCGCCCCCTGCAGGCGGCTCTGGCGTGCCCCACATTCGCTGGCGAGCGGGAGAGTCCCTGGCCCAGCATCAAATGCAGGTTCCAGGCTGTGCAGGGGGCTGCTGCTTCCGGTTCCTCACGGCTCCCGACTTCTCTTTGTACACTATTGGCATCTGCTGAGAAATGTCCACCAGGGCGCTGGCCACGGCAAGACCTTGAGAGGACCCACAGAGGGAAGGCATGTAAGGAGTGGCTTGTGTTTACATTGTTTTTATAAGTAATTAAAAAATTTCTTTTTACATTCCCATGGAGTGAACCAACAAAAGGCATACAGGGGAAATCTTATTTTCTTCCCTCCCTCCACCATCCTCGCTCAGTCTGGGCAAACTCTTTCATGTAATTCTATATATTCTGTCGGCTTTTCTTTATGCAAATACATTTTCTTCTCCACGTCTGACTTTTGACACAGGTGTAGCTTGATTTTCAGATCGGTCAAGCAAAGCCCTCTGCCTGGTGTGGGAACATATGAATGAGATTGCAGCCTCGCTCAAAGTGTCCCCTTTCTCTGCCTCCTCCCCAAGGATGCCAAGGAAAGGCAGCACATTTCACATGAAATGCAGATCCTTCTCACATCACTCAGTCAGCATTAGTTACATTTATACCTACACAAGGCAGGGCAGACTCTGGAGCCAGGGATTAGGCTCAGTTGTAAAATGGGGATAAAAACAGGCGCCAAGGAGGGTAAGGGAATCTCAGGCCCCTGGCATGTGGCGGTCATCAGTAACTGCTCTCTTTATTCTCACCACTTGCCCCCTTTGCTGTAGGGACTTTCCTAATACACGTGGGAAAGGGCCTGCCTGAGCTTAGAGCTCTGTGAGACACCCCCCACCCCAGGAGCTGAGTGAGTGGGTCCTGCTACTCCACCCTGCTGAGCCTATAAAGTAGGGGGGAGGGACCAGCAGTTAGCGTAATGGCTATGTCACTGGACTCCCACGTAGTCAACCACGTAGTCGAGTCCCGGACCCGGTGGCTTAAACTCACGCCGGGTGCGTGTGCGTGCGTGCCCAAGATCCCAAGAGGAGAATGGAGGAGAAGGGATTGCAGTGTGGCCACCCCCCCTGGGTGGTGATTTCCTGCTTTCTGTCTCTCTGTCTCTGTCTGTCTGGCGAGCGCAGGAGACCCTCACCCAAGGGTACCACGTCACAAAGTCACCCTGTCCTCAACATGGGCAAAGCTGAGTTACGAGCTCAACTCACAGGAATCCCTAGCTGAGATGATGACAATAAATTTTGGCCTTGCTAGGCCTAAAGGCCTCCCTCGTGAGGGTACCACAGACCTTGGACACTCTGAAAGCTGAGCTGGAGGCTCCTGTGGATTTGAGGTACCCTCGGGGGATCGCGGAACCTGGAGCTTGGGCAAGGATTTTGGGGCACACTTTCTTCAGAGACTCAAGGTTTTCTTTGGGTAAGGTAACCCTGACCCTCAGAGGAGATGATATTCGAGCTGTCTGAGGCACCTCTCCAAAGCACACCAAGCTTAATCAAGATATTACCCAAACTATATTTCATATTTCCTTCATGTTTAAAATAAGAAAATGTTTCATATGTACATTATGACTCATGTATTTGACTGAAAAGTGTAAAAGACATTGGTAGATTATCATGTATGCAGCTATAAAAATGTTCCCGTTAGTTACATTAAAAAATAAAAATAGGGGGCCAGCAGGCAGTGTTGTGGTTAAGGTGCAGGACTCCCACATGGCTGTGTTTTGTGTCCTGGACCCAACAGCTTGAAAATCACACAAGGCACGTGTACATGTGTGCCCAAAATCCCCAGAGAAGAATGGAGCAGAAGGGACTGCAGTGTAGCCATCCTCCCTGGGAGGTGATTTCTCACTCAACTCTCTCTCCCCAGGAAGCACATGCACCCTATGTCAAAAAACAAAATAGGGACCAGCAGTTAGCGTAATGGCTATGTCGCTGGACTCCCATGTAGTCAACCACACTTCGAGTACTGGACCCGGTGGCTTAAACTCACGCCAGGCATGTGGGCGTGCATGCCCAAGATCCCGAGAGGAGAATGGAGGAGAAGGGACTGCGGCGTGGCCTTCCCCCTTGGGGAGAGGTGATCTATCACTTTCTGTATCTCTCTGTCTTTCTGGCAAGCGCATGCACCCTATAGCAAAAACCTCTCCAAAAAACAAAAACAAACAAAAAAACATAAAATAAATAAATAAATAAATAAATAAATAAAAGTAATAAAAATTAGATCAATATAATCATTTCAGCTAAACTGCTGGCCAAGCCTAGCAACAGAACAGAATAATGAAAATTGGTGGGTGTTGGGATAGGAAAACCATGAGTAAATGTTCAAATATTTCTTTTGCATTGTCATGATTGCTGTCTGTGCCTTACATTTTAAAACAGAGTGAAAAAGCAAAAGAAAGGCTAGAAATACTAGTCTGAGAATTACCAGCTTTGAGGAGGCAGATGCAAGCCATGGGAGTTGAAAAGATGACGGAGGGAGAGTATCGAGTGAGAGAAGAGAGTCTCAGTGCAGGGGCGGCATGAGGAAAAGGGAGGAGCAGAAACAGGGCACCAAGAGGCTGAGGAAGCTGGGACAGTGTGGAGGGCCCCAGATGTTCCCTGTAAGGGAACAGTGACCTCGGAAAAACAGTTCTGGGAATATAGATGACAGCTGGATTATGTCACCGAATCCTTCCCAGGACATCAGACAGGCACTGCTTGATGCCACCTTTATACTCAGGTTCTCTACGAAGAGGGCCATCTAAGGCTTAGCTCCTTCTCCCTAAAACATGTTTGTCAAAGACTCCCATCTACTCACCCGACTGTCCTGGGGGAGGGATTCCACCCAGGCCTCGAGGGAGCCTCACAAACACAGAGAGGACAGCGGCTTTGTTGCCAAAGCATGGTTCCAGTGCAATGGGCTTGGGAACAGTCTGGGGGAAGAAAACAAAGAATTACAGACAATTAACAGTCACTGGGGCTTACAAGGATCATCGATTTTAGGTATACAGAGGAAGATACATGACCGTGCTCAGATTATGAAAGGGCGTGTTAAGCTAATAGTGATCACTGAACATCATTGAGGGGGATGGTCCTTGCTACCGTCCACTGAGGGTTCCACATCCACCTTCCTATAGAACTGCCTGAGCTGCAAGGAAGGGTCCACATCTAGTTGGCTTCTTCGGGCTCCATACTCAACTTAAAACCCTAATTCATGATCGTAGGTCATTGGAATAACAGTGAGTGTTTGGGGCAGAACTGTCAGATAGTTCTGCATACCTGACTGGAACAAAAAGCTGGAAATTATGATGAGTTTTGTTTTAATTCAAACTCATGTCACCCGTCCTTCAGACAGTACAGAGAGTAGCCTGCTGAATGTACAACCTTGTAAAGATGAATGGCTGATCAGATGGATGCATGTGGCCCTGGAAAATACATGATTTTCTCTTGCAGCCTTTAGATGTGAATTATAAAGATATCTTCTACATTAGTTTCTATTGATATATAACAAATGACTGCAAACTTAGTTACTTAAAACAATACCCATTTCTTATCTCAGTCTTATAGGTCAGAAGTCCAGGCAAGCTCTGTAGGGTTCTCTGCTTAGATATTACTCTGTTCATGTCTTCTAATAGTTCTGGAATATTCTCTCTCAGCTGTTATCTCACAAGGGTTATTTTACAAGGCTGAAGTCAGGCTTTGGCTGGGTGGGACTCTTATCAGGAGGGCTCTGGGAAAACTGCTTCCTAACTTAAGGTGTTGGCAAGATGCAGTTTCTGGTGGCTATAGGTCTGAGATTCCACCTTCTCACTGGCTGTCAGTCAGGGGCCACTCTCCTCTTAGAGGCCACCCATGTTCCTTGGGACGTTTGGGTTGCTTCCACTTTTTGGTTATTGTGAATAATGTTGCCATGGACATTGGTGTACAAATATGTTTTTGAGACTCTGTTTTCAGATTTTTTTTTTTTATTATTATAAATTTTTTTTTCTTTTCTCATCACAACACACATAAGAATTTTCCATCCAAAATACACTGTGCATTGGCTCAATCAAGCACATCAACATATATGTTCTCAGCAAATGATTTCCCAATTTTTGTGTCCTGCATACCTTGCCTTTTGTTTTGCCATCCTAGGTTCCCCATCCCCACCCTCTGCCATGTCCCATCTTCCTCCTCCATTGTCCCTGACATTCATGATTGCCCTCAATGGCTTCCGCCCCCCCCCACTCAATTGTTC